TCCAAATGCATAAACATTCAGATAAGGCCAAACTAAAGAAGGTGTGTGGTTCGACTCACCCGACCGACCGTACAATTTCAGCCCGACCGTAACTTTTTTTCGGCGGGCTGTCGTGTGACTGACGTACGTGGACTGAACACGTCCACGTCTACGTGCTGTGCGGCGTGAGTCTGCGGACGCAGGCGGCTCCTTTTGGACTTGGCTTGTAGTTGTACTGCAGTGCAGTGCAGTGAGTGGTACGACTGCTGCCTTGTGCTGGTAGTAGAGTCTACTCGATACGCGTATACCATGGTATACAGTGTATTTACATGTACTAAAAAATATATTAAAAAAAAAAAAATCCGCCCGCCCGCCCGTAAAAAAAATGTCCATGTTAGTCGAACCACACACCTTCTTTAGTTTGGCCTAACCAACACGGCCATTTTCTCCATCTGCTACCAGCTACTTGCAATCTCCAAATGCATAAACATTCAGATAACTAACACAGCCATTTTCTCCATCTGGTACCAGCTACTTGCGATCTCCAAATGCATAAACATTCAGATAACCAACACGGCCATTCTCTCCATCTGCTACCAGCTACTTGCGATATCCAAATGCATAAACATTCAGATAACCAGCACGGCCATTTTCTCAATCTGCTACCAGCTACTGGCGATGTCCAAATGCACAAACATTCGGATAAGCAGCACGGCTATTTTCTCCATCTGCTACCAGCTACTTGCAATGTCCAAATCCACAAACATTCAGATAACCAGCACGGCCATTTTCTCCATCTGCTACCAGCTACTTTCGATGTCCAAATGCACAAACATTCAGATAACCAGCACGTCCATTTTATCCATCTGCTACCTGCTACATGCGATGTCCAAATGCACAAACATCCAGATAACCAGCACGGCCATTTACTTCATCTGCTACCAGCTCCTTGCGATGTCACAAATGCACAAACATTCAGATAACAAGCACGGCCATTTTCTCTATCTGTTACCAGAAACTTGCAATGTCCAAATGCACACAAATTCAGATAGCCAGTACGGCCATTTTTCCATCTGCTACCAGCTACTTTCGAGATCCAAATGCACAAACATTCAGATAACCAGCACGGCTATTTTCTCTATCTGCTACCAGCTACTTGCGCTGTCCATATGCGCAAACATTCAGATAACCCGCACGGCCATTTCCTCCCTCTGCTACCCGACCTACTTGCGATCTCTAAATGCACAAACATTCAGATAACCAGCACGGCCATTTTCTTCATCTGCTACCAGCTACTTGCGATGTCCACATGCACAAACATTCAGATAACCAGCACGGCCATTTTCTTCATCTGCTACCAGCTACTTGCGATGTCCACATGCATAAACATTCAGATAACCAGCACTGCCATTTTCTCCACCTGCTACCAGCTACTTGCGATCTCCAAATGCATGAACATTCAGATAACCAGCACGGCCATTTTCTCCATCTGCTACCAGCTATTTGCGATATCCAAATGCATAAACATTCAGATAACCAGCACGGCCATTTTCTCCATCTGCTACCAGCTACTTGCGACGTCCAAATGCTCAAACACTCAGATAACCAGCACGGCCTTTTTGTCCATCTGCTACCAGCTACTTGCGATGTCCAAAAGCACCAACATTCAGATAACCAGCACGGCCATTTTCTCCATCTGCTACCAGCTACTTGCGATGTCCAAATGCATAAACATTCAGATAACCAGCACGGCCATTTTCTCCATCTGCTACCAGCTACTGGCGATGTCCAAATGCACAAACATTCGGATAAGCAGCACGGCTGTTTTCTCCATCTGCTACCAGCTACTTGCAATGTCCAAATGCACAAACATTCAGATAACCAGCACGGCCATTTTCTCCATCTGCTACCTGCTACTTGCGATATCCAAATGCACAAACACTCAGATAACCAGCACGGCCCTTTTGTCCATCTGCTACCAGCTACTTGCGATGTCCAAATGCACAAACATTCAGATAACCAGCACGGCCATTTTCTCCATCTGCTACCAGCTACTTGCGATGTCCAAATGCATAAAAACATTCAGATAACCAGCCCTGCCAATTTCTCCATCTGCTACCAGCTACTGGCGATGTCCAAATGCACAAACATTCGGATAAGCAGCACGGCTATTTTCTTCATCTGCTACCAGCTACTTGCAATGTCCAAATGCACAAACATTCGGATAACCAGCACGGCCATTTTCTCCATCTGCTACCTGCTACTTGCGATATCCAAATGCACAAACACTCAGATAACCAGCACGGCCATTTTCTCCATCTGCTACCAGCTACTTGCGATATCCAAATGCATAAACATTCAGATAACCAGCACAGCCATTTTCTCCATCTGCTACCAGCTACATGCGATTGCAAAATGCACAAACACTCAGATAACCAGCACGCCCTTTTGTCCGTCTGCTACCAGCTACTTGCGATGTCCAAATGCACAAACATTCAGATAACCAGCACGGCCCTTTTGTCCATCTGCTACCAGCTACTTGCGATGTCCAAATGCATAAACATTCAGATAACCAGCACTGCCATTTTCTCCATCTGCTTCCAGCTACTGGCGATGTCCAAATGCACAAACATTCGGATAAGCAGCACGGCTATTTTCTCCATCTGCTACCAGCTACTTGCAATCTCCAAATGCACAAACATTCAGATAACCAGCACGGCCATTTTCTCCATCTGCTACCTGCTACTTGCGATATCCAAATGCACAAACATTCAGATAACCAGCACGGCCATTTTCTCCAACTGCTACCAGCTACTTGCGATGTCCAAGTGCACAAACATTCAGATAAGCAGGACGGTCATTTTCTCCATTTGCTACCAGCTACTTGCGATGTCCAAATGCACAAACATTCAGATAACTGGCACGTCCATTTTATCCATCTGCTACCTGCTACTTGCGATGTCCAAATGCACAAACATCCAGATAACCAGCACGGCCATTTACTTCATCTGCTACCAACTCCTTGCGATGTTCAAATGCACAAACATTCAGATAACAAGCACGGCCATTTTCTCTATCTTCTACCAGAAACTTGCAATGTCCAAATGCACAAAAATTCAGATAGCCAGTACGGCCATTTTTCCATCTGCTACCAGCTACTTTCGAGGTTCAAATGCACAAACATTCAGATAACCAGCACGGCTATTTTCTCTATGTGCTACCAGCTACTTGCGCTGTCCATATGCGCAAACATTCAGATAACCGGCACGGCCATTTCCTCCCTCTGCTACCCGAGCTACTTGCGATCTCCAAATGCACAAACATTCAGATAACCAGCTTGGCCATTTTCTCCATCTGCTTCCCGAGCTACTTGCGATCTCCAAATGCACCAACATTCAGATAACCAGCACGGCCATTTTCTCCATCTGCTACCAGCTACTTGCGATGTCCAAATGCACTAACATTCAGATAACCAGCACGCCAGTTTCTCCATCTGCTACCAGCTACTTGCGATGTCCAAATGCACAAACCTTCATAAAACCAGCACGGCCATTTTCTCTATCTGCTACCAGATACTTGCAACGTCCAAATGAACAAACATTCAGATAGCCAGTACGGCCATTTTTCCATCTGCTACCAGCTACTTGCGATGTCCAAATGCACAAACACTCAGATAGCCAGCACGGCCATTTTCTCCATCTGCTACCAGCTACTTGCGATATCCAAATGCACTAACATTGAGAAAACCAGTACGGCCATTTTCTCCATCTGCTACCAGCTACTTGCGATGTCCAAATGCACTAACATTCAGATAACCAGCACGCCAGTTTCTCCATCTGCTACCAGCTACTTGCGATGTCCAAATGCACAAATATTCAGATAAGCAGAACGGTCATTATTTCCATTTGTTACCAAATACTGGGGACGGTCAAATTCACAAATATGCAGATAACCAGCACTGTCGTTTCGTCCACCTGCTACCAGCTACTTACGATCTCAAAATGAACAAACATTCAGATAACCAGCACGGCCATTTCCTCCATCTGCTAACAGCTACTTACGATGTCCAAATGCACAAACATTCAGATAATTAGCACGGCTATTTTCTCCATCTGCTACCAGCTACTTGCGATGTCCAAATGCACAAAAATTCAGATAGCCAATACGGCCATTTTTCCATCTGCTACCGGCTACTTTCGAGGTCCAAATGCACAAACATTCAGATAACCAGCACGGCTATTTTCTCTATGTGCTACCAGCTACTTGCGCTGTCCATATGCGCAAACATTCAGATAACCGGCACGGCCATTTCCTCCCTCTGCTACCCGAGCTACTTGCGATCTCCAAATGCACAAACATTCAGATAGCCAGCTTGGCCATTTTCTCCATCTGCTTCCCGAGCTACTTGCGATCTCCAAATGCACAAACATTCAGATAACCAGCACGGTCATTTTCTCCATCTGCTACCCGCTACTTGCGATGTCCAAATGCACTAACATTCAGATAACCAGCACGCCAGTTTCTCCATCTGCTACCAGCTACTTGCGATGTCCAAATGCACAAACCTTCATAAAACCAGCACGGCCATTTTCTCTATCTGCTACCAGATACTTGCAACGTCCAAATGAACAAACATTCAGATAGCCAGTGTAGTAAACTCCTGAGCTAGGGTTTACCATCTTTATTTACAAGACAAACAACAGAACAGCTAGTAGAAGTCCGAACAAAGAAGTGAAGTGAGTAGAGCTACCCCAAGCCACATAGGCCCGAGTCCCCAAGTACTCGTCCGTGTATGGAAGGATGGAAAGTGTGGCGCGTGCGTGGTACAAAGGGGTGCATTCATGCGGCGTTCATACAGACGTGTGAAAGCAGCACTGCAGAGTTCATGCAGAGGTGTGAAAGCAGCTCTCACGCACAGTTATGAATGCAAGAGAGAGACAGAGAGAAAGCTATGTACAGTTATGAGTATCATTACGCTACATCTCCCCCAACAGGAAGGAGAGCACCTGGGAGCGTAAGAGTCACAAGTCCAGGCGGTCAGGTGGTCGCACGGCACGGCCTGAGCGAGTGGTGTCAACGTCGGCGGTGGCAGCTGCGTCGGGTGCACCTGGTGTCGCCACAGCAGGGTGGCGCTCAACTGGGGTAGCCGCGTCGGATGGCGCGGGAATCGGCAGGATGGGGCCATCGTCTGGGATCCGTTGCGGCAGAGGGCGTAAGTTGCGGACGTTGCGACGCAGGACGGAGCCGGCTGATGTGACGAGGAAGGAGCGCTCACTCAAGCGTTCCTTCACGGTGCCTTCGCGGGCGAGGTCTACCAACCACACCCGATCGCCAGGTCCGAGTGAGGATGGGGCCCGAGCGGCATGATGGTCATCAAACGTGTCTGCCTGGGCGGATTTCCGGGCCACCTCCCGTCGTCGGAACTCGATGAGGTCGGGCCACTCAGGGGCCAGAGCTGATTCAGGTAGTGGCAGGCTAGACTGGATCCTGCGACCCATCAGGAGCTGTGCGGGACTAGGGCCACTCTGGAGGGGCGTGGAGCGGTACGCCAGCAGTGTACTAGGGAGATCCGGGTCTTTCCGCAGCATCTCTTTGATGGTACGAACGGCTCTCTCTGCCATGCCATTGCTCTGGGGGTACCGTGGAGAGGAGGTTCGGTGCTGAATTGAGTGGCGAGCCAGGAAGAGAGCGAACTCGTCACTAGAGAATTGGGGACCGTTGTCGGACACTAGTCCTTCTGGGGTGCCATAGCGAGCGAAGTGCAGGGATAGGGCGGCTATTACTGCATGGGATGTGGTAGACTTGAGCTGATCCACTTCAATGAATCGGGAGAAGTAGTCCACCGTTAGGAGATAATCGTGACCCTCGAAATGAAACAGGTCGACTGCGAGTCGCTGCCAGGGTCGTGCTGGGAGAGCCTGTGGTAGGAGCGGTGCAGCAGGCACGAGCCGCTCCTTGCTGCAGGCTTCGCAGGTCTGGACAACGTCTGCAATCTGGGCGTCGAGGCCAGGCCACCACACTGCCGTTCGAGCTCGGGCGCGGCACTTGGTCACCCCCTGATGACCGTCATGGATGGTACGGAGCACCTCAGGCTGCATGTCACGGGGGATGACGATACGGGTGTTGAAATACACAATGCCATTGGCCACCGATAGGCAAGACCGGGCTGGATAGAATGGCAGCAGTGCAGGCGGAACGTCGCGGGCCCGCTCTGGCCAGCCGCTGAGGGTCCGCTGTGCGACGTCGGACACGACGGGGTCTTCTGCTACCGCTGCTCTGATGCGGTCCTGAAACGTGGGAGAGGCATACTCAGCAGACACGGACGCTACCTGGATATCGATGTCATCCAGCAAGTCTTGCATACTGCCTTGAGGGTCTGCTGCACCGGATGGGGAGCGAGACAGGGCGTCGGCCACGACGAGACGTGGACCCGGTACATAGGTCGCGGTGACGCTGAACTGGAGGAGGCGCATCAGCATCCGTTGACAGCGGAGTGGGACATTGTCCAGGTCTCGCGAGTTGATGAGAGGGATCAACGGTTTGTGATCTGTGTGGACTTCAAATGGAAGGCCGCCCCGGATGTACTGTTGGAAATGGTCGCAGGCCCAAGTGACGGCGAGGAGCTCCTTCTCAATTTGAGCATAGCGTTGCTGCGTCTCGTTGAGAGATTTGGAGGCAAACGCGATGGGGCGGAGGTCGTCTCCGTCACGTTGCCAGAGTGCTGCACCAAGACCATAGCTGCTTGCATCGGCGCTGATGACTACAGGCTGAGACGGGTCAAAGAATGCCAGGTCACTGGCGGCAGCTGCGAGCTCCTTCATCTTGGCAAACGCATCCCGTTGGGCTGCGTCCCAGCACCACACAGTATTGTGGCGCAGCAGAGCCCGAAGTGGCGTCGAGACAGATGCAAGGCCCGGCAGAAACTTGCCGATGTAGTTGAATAGTCCGAGAACCCGTCGCAGACTTGGCACATCAGTTGGCGCGGCGAGGTCCAACAGAGCCGAAATGCGGTCCGGGTCGGGGCGCACACCGTTGTGGCTAATGCTGTGCCCGAGGAACTTGAGGGATGCTCGACCAACTTGGCTCTTGTCAGGGTTTAGAGTGACATTGGCCTGGGCGAGAGCTTGATAGACGGCAGTCAGAGCTGTGTCGTGAGCCTCCTGGCTGGATCCAAAGATCAAGATGTCGTCCATGAATACCACCACTCCTGGGATACCATCCAGGATGCCCATCAGTTTGCGCTGGAAGATCTCCGGTGCTGATGAAATCCCAAAGGGCAAGCGGCGGAACTTGTATCTGCCAAACGGGGTGATGAATGTGGTGAGGTGTTGAGATTCGTCGGCAAGCGGAACCTGCCAGAACCCCTTCTTCGTATCCAGGGTGGAGAACACTGTCGCTCCCGATAGCTTAGCCATCGTTTCCTCAACGGTCGGGAGGACAAATGTCTCACGCTTCACGCCTGTGTTTAGCCTCTTCAGGTCTACGCAAATGCGGACGTCACCGTTTTTCTTCCGAACCGCCACCATTGGTGCACACCACTCCGTCGGTTCTGTGACCGGTGTGATGATCCCGGAATCCACCATGTTCGTCAGCTCCTTCTTCACCTTTTGGAGCAGCGGGAATGGTACACGCCTGGCCACTGGGCAGTGGTACGGGCGAGCATCGGGCAGAAGACGTATCGATACAGGTGGTCCGGTCATACAGCCAAGTGGAGGTGCAGGTGGAGCGGAGACGTTGTGAACTCCTGGCTGCACAAAACCCATACGGAAAGAAGCTTGTCGGCTCAACAGGTTCGCACCCGAGGCGGAGAGGACATGGACATCATGCGGGAAGAGTTGTCCGTTGGTGTCTCTACTTAGGACTGTAAACTTTCCCGCAAGTGTCAGTGGTGTGCCATCGGGTCCCAGGAGTGCAGCTGCTGGCGTCTGGAGCGTGGGGGACGGGACTAGCGTGCTAAACGTGTCCGCGTTCATAACAGACGTGTCCGCGCCAGTGTCCACTTTGAAGAGTACTTCCGTGTTCCCTATCGGAATGAAGCGCATCCAAGGCTCGTCAGGCAGCTGGTCAGTTGAAACGCCTCCCATAAACAGATATGCGCCTGTGCTGATGTCTGCAGTTGGTGTAGGCTGCACTGCATGCACCAACTTCTGGCCTGCTCCTGGTTCACTGGCTAGCCTACTAGGCTTACTCAAGCATACCCTGCTGAAGTGGCCTGTTTTCCCACAAGAGGAGCACTTCTCGGACCGTGCAGGGCACTCACGGCGTGAGTGGGTCGCTGGCCTGCCACACCACCTGCAGGACGCATCATCCGTACCAAACGGCGTAGACCTACGAGTCGAACTAAACTGCTGTGCCCGGCCGCCGCTGTTGGCCTTGGCTGTGCTGATTCCGGCTGCCTGAGGTGGCGCAGACACTTCCAACTGATGGCGCTGCGCAGCTACTTGGCGATGAACCTGCTCGTAGTTTCGAGCGTATGTGGCTGCCTTGGCCAGGTCCGGCTTATCGAGAAGTTGCAGCTCGAGTGTCAACTTACGATCGATGAGGTTAGCCATGAAGCGATCACGGATTCGCTCGTCCCGGGCTCCCGAGAAGTCGCATTTATCTGCGATACGATGCAGACGACGAAGGTATTCGTCAACGGATTCCGATGGCGACTGGATCGCCCGCTCGAACATAGTTCTTTCATGTACCACATTCGACACTGGTTTGAAATACTCGGACATTTTCTTGACCACCTCGTCAAACTTCTCCGCATCGCCGGCGTCATCAAACTTCAGTTGTTTGTGGACTACTGTCGCCTGTGGTCCCATGCTGTAAAGGAGCGTGGCTACCTGGACATCCTCATCGTCCTTGTGCAGTTTAGTAACTTTCCTGTACTGCCGAAAACGATCGAGCCAGTCATCCCAGGCAGAGGGATCGGCGAAGTCAAACTGACATGGTGGCTGAAATCGAGACATACAACTGTTCTACAGTGGATCAATACGGAACTCTCGTATGTAGATCCTGTTCACTGCGCCATGTAGTAAACTCCTGAGCTAGGGTTTACCATCTTTATTTACAAGACAAACAACAGAACAGCTAGTAGAAGTCCGAACAAAGAAGTGAAGTGAGTAGAGCTACCCCAAGCCACATAGGCCCGAGTCCCCAAGTACTCGTCCGTGTATGGAAGGATGGAAAGTGTGGCGCGTGCGTGGTACAAAGGGGTGCATTCATGCGGCGTTCATACAGACGTGTGAAAGCAGCACTGCAGAGTTCATGCAGAGGTGTGAAAGCAGCTCTCACGCACAGTTATGAATGCAAGAGAGAGACAGAGAGAAAGCTATGTACAGTTATGAGTATCATTACGCTACAGCCAGTACGGCCATTTTTCCATCTGCTACCAGCTACTTGCGATGTCCAAATGCACAAACACTCAGATAGCCAGCACGGCCATTTTCTCCATCTGCTACCAGCTACTTGCGATATCCAAATGCACTAACATTGAGAAAACCAGTACGGCCATTTTCTCCATCTGCTACCAGCTACTTGCGATGTCCAAATACACAAATATTCAGATAAGCAGAACGGTCATTATTTCCATTTGTTACCAAATACTGGGGAAAATTCACAAATATTCAGATAACCAGCACTGTCGTTTCGTCCACCGGCTACCAGCTACTTACGATCTCAAAATGAACAAACATTCAGATAACCAGCACGGCCATTTCCTCCATCTCCTAACAGCTACTTACGATGTCCAAATGCACAAACATTCAGATAATTAGCACGGCCATTTTCTCCATCTGCTACCAGCTACTTGCGATGTCCAAATGCACAAAAATTCAGATAGCCAATACGGCCATTTTTCCATCTGCTACCGGCTACTTTCGAGGTCCAAATGTACAAACATACAGATAACCAGCACGGCTATTTTCTCTATGTGCTACCAGCTACTTGCGCTGTCCATATGCGCAAATATTCAGATAACCAGCATGGCCATTTTCTCCATCTGCTACCCGAGCTACTTGCGATCTCCAAATGCACAAACATTCAGATAACCAGCTTGGCCATTTTCTCCATCTGCTACCAGGTACTTGCGATGACGAAATGCACAAACATTCAGATAACCAGCACGTCCATTTTATCCATCTGCTACCTGCTACATGCGATGTCCAAATGCACAAACATCCAGATAACCAGCACGGCCATTTTCTTCATCTGCTACCAGCTCCTTGCGATGTCCAAATGCACAAACATTCAGATAACAAGCACGGCCATTTTCTCCATCTGCTACCAGAAACTTGCAATGTCCAAATGCACAAAAATTCAGATAGCCAATACGGCCATTTTTCCATCTGCTACCGGCTACTTTCGAGTTCGAAATGCACAAACATTCAGATAACCAGCATGGCTATTTTCTCTATGTGCTACCAGCTACTTGCGCTGTCCATATGCGCAAATATTCAGATAACCAGCACGGCCATTTTCTCCATCTGCTACCCGAGCTACTTGCGATCTCCAAATGCACAAACATTCAGATAACCAGCTTGGCCATTTTCTCCATCTGCTTCCCGAGCTACTTGCGATCTCCAAATGCACAAACATTCAGATAACCAGCACGGCCATTTTCTCCATCTGCTACCAGCTACTTGCGATGTCGAAATGCACAAACCTTCATAAAACCAGCACGGCCATTTTCTCTATCTGCTACCAGATACTTGCAATGTCCAAATGAACAAACATTCAGATAGCCAGACCGGCCATTTTTCCATCTGCTACCAGCTACTTGCGATGTCCAAATGCACAAACACTCAGATAACCAGCACGGCCATTTTCTCCATCTGCTACCAGCTACTTGCGATATCCAAATGCACTAACATTGAGATAACCAGCATGGCCATTTTCTCCATCTGCTACCAGCTACTTGCGATGTCCAAATGCACAAACATTCAGATAAGCAGAACGGTCATTATTTCCATCTGTTACCAAATACTGGGGACGTTCAAATTCACAAATATTCAGATAAGGGGTCGTCCACAATTATCGAACTTTTTTCACAAAACGAAATAATTTCGTTATGGGGTGGGAGGGGGTTGACCAATGTCGTTTCAGAAAACTTCGATACATGTACATGGCCACAGGAGCAGAGGCACACTTGCGACTTTTGTTGTATATGCATGTATACGTCAACAATTTTTTACGTTCTGAGGGGGAGGGAGGGAGGGGTTGGGTCTAAACTAAAACAATTCGTTTGGTGAACAAAGTTCGATATTTACGGACGGCCCCTAACCAGCACGGTCGTTTTGTCCACCTGCTGCCAGCTACTTACGATCTCAAAATGAACAAACATTCAGATAACCAGCACGGCCATTTCCTCCATCTGCTAACAGCTACTTACGATGTCCAAATGCACAAACATTCAGATAATTAGCACGGCCATTTTCTCCATCTGCTACCAGCTTCTTGCGATGTCCAAATGCACAAACATTCAGATAACCAGCACGGCCATTTTCTCCATCTGCTCTCAGCTACTTGCGATGTCCAAATGGACAAACATTCAGATAGCCAGCACGTCCATTTTCTTCATCTGCTTCCCACTACTTGCGATGTCCAAATGCACAAACATTCAGATAACCAGCACAGCCATTTTCTCCAACTGCTATCAGCTACTTGCGATATCCAAATGCACTGACATTCAGATAGCCAGCACGGCTATTTTCTCCATCTGCTACCAGCTACTAGTACTTGCGATGTCCAAATGCACAAACATTCAGATAACCAGCACGGCCATTTTCTCCATCTTCTACCAGCTACTTGCGATGTTTAAATACACAGACATTCAGATAACCAGCCCGGCCATTTTCTCTATCTGCTACCAGCTATTTGCGAGGTCCAAATGCACAAATATTCAGATAAGCAGGACGGCCATTTTTCTCCATCTGCTACCGGCTACAGTGCTGGCAACTGAAATCCGACCCCCTGAGCGGTGGGTTCACATTCTAGCGGTCTCTGTTTCGTAGTTTTACCATCCCGTGTTGGGTCTTTTTGATGTGAGCGCACCGCTCATTGGGTCGGATTTCAGTGGCCAGCACTGTACTTGCGATGTCTAAATGCACAAACTGTTGAAACATTCAGATAACCAGCACGGCCATTTTCTCCACCTGCTACCAGCTACTTGCAATGTTCAAATGCAAGTGGTTGGTTTCGTTCCCAGGCTGACCTGGCTGGAACAACGACTACCGGTACCATACTACTGTAACCATAGCGGCGGCCTGTTGCCATAGTTGCAGATTTCTTGATAACGACGGCTGTCTTTTCGGAGGGAACACTAGACTAGTTTAGATTAGAGTCTAGAGAGTAGAGTAGAGAGGGCATGACTTCTTCCGTCAAGTAAACCAGGGTGAACTGTCCTCCGTTGAGCGGATATTGCACTAACGTCGGCGCACTGTTCCTGACTCGACTGCAAGCAAGCTACGCTACTCGGCGAGACAACTAGTTTTGCAACCTTACCCCTAGCGCACAGCTTAGTATTCTGACCGTGCAGAGGCTTGCAGACGGCTAGTTATGCGACAGTTCACGCATCACATGCACACAGTAGACCTACTGCCACGCAGTGCATGTATCGGGCCGGGGCTAGCACTAGTGGGAGTACATGGAGTACAGTCATGTCGTTCCACCTTTGAAGCTTTGTACTCTAGTCTCTAGCCTATTGTCTAGAGTAGTCTCCCTGATTAGCTAACGCCTGTTCGATAGCAGGATGAAGATCAGACGCGCACTCCCCCGCTGTACTGCACTTATCGACAGTAAATTTGTTGCTCTTGGCTAGGCCACCTACGATAGTGAATGAATCTTTTCAAGTATATAATTCTGCTCGACATAGTAGAAACGTGCGGGCGGTCCACGTAGCATGCAGACTACAGACTGAGTGTCAGTACCCACCGACCTGCCCACGTCATTACCGTCATGAACCTGTAGTATTCTTAGCGGGAATTCATGATCAGATGGCCATCATTATCACGTCTTCGGCTACACCTCATCGTAGAGTCTACCCACACCCTCTGTAGGACTCCTTTGCGACCTGCGACCGGTTCCCTCCGTGCCGCCCAGCCAGGAGGACTTGCCTCTCAGTCTCACTCTCAGCCTTTTTGATCATGTCGGTCTCCTCAACTAACTATCATGACTATTACTTACTTCAAGTAGCGGCATGCAGCAGGGAGTGGTACGTGTACATGACGTCATATTGATGATTCACCGGTGCGGAGGGAACCCGCCGTTGGCGGAGGAATCGGACAGAGGTCAGCGGGTATGGTTGCGATGTGGTGTAACTGTAAACGTGATGGACATCATGAATTCCCGCTAAGAATAAACTACACACACACACACCCTGCCAAGTTAGTTTGTATCCCTGGTGACGTTTGTGCCTGGACAGCACTATAATAAGTGGTGCTCTTCAGGCACAATCTTCCTCAGCCTACTCAAGCTCAACTGATGAGGGGTGAATTCCCCGAAACACTGTGTATTGAGCAGGGAGTGGTGCTTTCTTGCCGAGTCGAAGGTTCCATGGACTTCTCGTGTTCTCTGGATGGCAGTCGTGAGTCAGTCAAGTGTCAAGTAGTCGGCGGAATAGCGCGAGCTCCAGTGTGGGAGCAAACCCATTCCTACACACACATGTAATGATAATAATTATGAGCAGGCAAGAAGAAGATTGCCTGATGAGTCCAGCGGGGACGAAACATACGTCGCAATCGAGCTATGTCGTTGCTGTGTCATCATCTATGTGCCATGCGCTACTTGATGTACCAGCCTGCTATGCCGGATACTGCTAGCCATGCATCGACCAGGCGCCAGGCGCGAACTGATGGTGCTGGTGGTGAGAAGGAGAGCTCTGTGCCAGAACTTTGCAGCCTAGAGAGCGTGTGTGGGCAGGCGTGTGTTTACCGCCATATTGCCAGGTGTGTCTTTACCACCATATTAACCA